GGAGGCCGTGGTGGCATCCTTGAAGATCCTGGGGGCACCTTGGGCCAGGGGCACCTCTAGCAACATCCGAACATAGCAGCCGCTCGGAAGTAGAGACCAGCTGGCAAGCAAAACGAAACGAGAGGTCTCACCGAGGAAGAATACCCAACATCCGCTTGGAATTCACTTATCATTTCCCTTTGCCTTTGCCTTGGGCTTGAATTAACGCCAGCTCCTCGACCTGTTTGGCGGCCTTGGAGCGCGGGGCATGGTCGTCTTCGATCCGCGTGCCGGTCGCCCGCTGCCACTTCGACGCATGGCGGAGGGTGCGAATGGATTCGAACAGCTCGCGGTGACGGTCGGCCGCCACGATCCAGCAGACCTTGCCCTCCTTCTCGCTGTCCTGACACTCCACGACGAAGCAGCGCGTCGCCTGGAACGAGTGCTTCTGAAGAGCCTTCTCCCCAACTGCCACCAACGCCTTCGTGGCCAGGAGGACCTGCTTTCGGTCGCCCCCGGTCATGTCCCCCGACAGGGCAGCTTCTTGCTCGCGCCAGGCCAGTTGTAGGTGGCACAGAAACGCTCGGAACAGGGCGTCGGGACGCTTGCCCTGGGGATGCCCTGTGTACACCTCGCCCTTCTCCGCGGCCGCCGCCTTTGCCGCTTTGCCCTCGGAATCGTAGGAGCCCATCGCTCGGTCCAGCTGTCGAGCTCGAGGACCACGTTGTTGTCGCGGTGGGTGGCAAGGTGGCCGTCCTCGCGTTGGAGAACAAGTTTGACCATCCCCTTCAGCAGCGCCCGCTCCGTGCTGGACATGGAAGAGCTGGCACCCCCGCCGCCGTTCGCCTCCTCGCCCTCGGCCCTCTGGCGTTCGGCGGGCTTGGCTGGGGCTCCCTCGGACGCCTCCTTGAACATCGGGAGACAGGCCAGGTGGTGAAGGCGGTGGTGGGGGTCGTGGTGGGTCTTCCGAACCGGCTTGAGCATTAACAGCAACGGCAGCACGGCAACGACCCCGAACATGATTCTTGAGGGACTCAACTCTTCTGAATTATGCGGAGAACACTAGAGCGAGGGGGTCTGCGTTGGTGCCACCCCCGTCATATGTTCATGGCGTTGGCGACCTAGGTGGATGTTGAGAGCACGGCTGCTCTGAAACTAAAGATTGCAAATTTGGCAGCGATGGTGAACCTCATCAAGACCTCATCAGGGCCTCCCGCTCCTCCGTCACCTCCTCCACCCGCGGGCCCTCCAGGGACCACTACACGATAGTGTTTACGTCGATCCTCAACCGTCGAACTGAAACTGCGGACCATAGCGAGGCGCGCCTTAAGGAGCTGTAGGAACCATCTGAAGAGCTCGGGGGACAACGAACCCAGGAGAGGAGGCTGACATTGCATTTCTGGCGGAAAAGCAGCGCACAGGCACGCCAGATCAGTAAGCAGTTGCCGGTGGCGGTCGGTTGTTCCGCCCGCCCGTTCAAAGGATAAGGTACCCAGCAAGCACGTTCTCACCGCAATCGGGGCATCATAGGGGGCAGCCGCAGGCTTGTAGATGGGTCAGAGCATTCCCCTCCACCACAAGAGTCGTCGGTAGCGCAAGTCAGACTGGATAGTGTGCACCTTGAGCCCTCGGCGTACCTCCTCGTTCGTAATCGCTGTCATGTGGGCTGGAACGTTCGCCACACTGAGGAGCACTGGGTCAGGGCCCATTCGCTCAGGATACATACCTCTAGACCGTACAGGGCGATCGTGCGCACCAATGAGAGCCACAGTCGTACACGGAGCTGAAGAGGGATGAAACCTGTACGAAAGACTTTGGGGGCAAGGCGAGCGTGAGCAACGTTCGCCTTGCGGACATGGGCCTCCGCCGTCGCGCCACTCCGTCCAGTAGCTGGAACCTGAAGTCCCAAGTATTGTACTACATCCTGTAGATGGAGAGGGCGTCCGTCACACATCACCCCCGTCGAACGTGTAGCGGTATCCTCGTTAAGGCGTCGGGAGCCGTGGCCAGTAGCCACTGCAATGACCTCCGTCTTGGGCAGATTCATGTGATAGTCATTGGTCCGCAGCAATGGCGCGATAAAGGTAATGAAATCGGTGACCTCCGTCCAACCCTCGAAGACAGCAAGCGCGATTAGGTCGTCAACAAAGCACACGCGGGATACATCGAGACATGTGGTGACGTCCTCGAGGTCCAGGGTGCCAGTGATCGGCGGGACGGCGCGCTCCTCCTTGGCAACGCGAAGCGCTGTGAGCACGACATTGTACGCTATGATGAACAGGAGCGGCCCTTCGACCGAACCCTGTCGGACCCCCAGTTGGAGAGCTAGCTTCGCCACCACTCGGGCCTGACTTCGGGTCCTTAAACAAGCAGCAGGTGCCGTTGTGCAATTCGGAGCACAGGAGGGTGAACCCAGCAGACTCGACCAGGCGGTGGACCTCGGACCAGATGGCATCCCTGGGCAGAAGGTCGAAGGCATCCCGTCATCCGCCAGCGAGGTCCCCGATGCGGCCCGCATCCTTTAGGCAGAGAAAGTTCAAGAATAAGCCAAAGCCAACGGTGCACGCTGGAGGCGCTTCCAGTCCTCCAGCCACCGTGCCGTGTGCTCTTTGAGGCGTGGACGAATGTCGAGGTCTGTCCAGTCAGGTTTCTGGGTTTCTGCACTTGCCTAAGGGCCCCGCCCCTCTCGGGACACGCTTCCATGCATGCACCGCCCCCTCTCCCCGAGGCTCCCAGGATTGCCTCACACCTCCCTGGCGCTCTCCGAGGCATCCAATACATGCCCAAGATGGCTTCTGGGACGGCCAAAGCAGGCCACCAAGGCCGCCAAGATGGCCGCAGGGCGCTCGAAGACGGCGTGAGAGGGCTTCCAGACGGCCCACGAGGCCGTCGAGGCGTTCCAAGAGAGACCCAAGAGTCTTCCCAGAGGTGCCTCGAGAAGGAAAAACAAGATGAGATATTCCTAAGTTGTTTCAGTGTTATTAGAAGTATTGCCGTTTCGAGCTTCCGACGTCCCAAGACGATCCAAGAGGCCCCCAAGACTGCTCCAAGACCCAAGACGGCCCAAGAGGCGCCTAAGAATGCCCAAGAGAGCCCCAAGACGGCCCCAAGAAGGGCCCGAGAGGGTGAACCCGAACCGACAGTTCGAGCCTTCCACCCCAAGAGAGCTTAGGGGGCCCCAAGAAGGCCAAGATAGCCCCCCAAGAGGGTCCTGGGAGGCAAACACCGTTGACTTCTCCCGCAGCTCTTCAATACGTTTGGGGCTCTCGCCTTCTCTAGCTTCCGGGGCTCCAAGACGGCCCGAAGAGGCCCCCGAGACCCCCCCGAGACGGCTCAAGGGGCCCACAAGAGAGCTCCAAGAGGCCCACGAGAGAGCTCCAAGACGGCCCAAGTGGGCTCCGAGACGGCCCGCGAGCCCCGAGAAGGGCCTGAGAGAGCGGGAGCACGACCCCAGCAGACCGAGGCTTCTGCACCAAGGGGTCCTCCACAGGCCCCCCCCTCGCCCCCTCGAACAAGTGCCACCCAGACTGCAGCGCTGGCACGGTGCCGGCATTGCCAGAGGCCCCCAGAGGAAACTCTGCGTCGGAGGTTACGGCCCCGCCACCTTGACGTCGGACGCAGAGAAAGGGGGGGCCAGCGAATCCGCTCACGCAGCTGGGCTCTCTGGCGGCGTCCCCTGGCGCGGTAGGAGCCAGCGTTCCAGGGGAAAGGCGCCAAGCGGCGGGGCCGAAACCAGCATGCAGCAGATGCCCTTAACCCCCCCTTTCCCACCCCCCCGAGGTGATCCTCGCCGCCTGGCCCTGGGGGTCACAACTCGGGCCTCGGGGCGGCCGCTCGGGGCGATCGAGGCACCCCCGGCTACGAGAACGGCGCGCACGCACCGCATCACGCCTGGACTCCCCTCAGGCCGCGCTCTGACGCGGCACGGTGCACAGTTTTCCAGCTCCGAGGACCGCAAAACTATGCACCGTGCCGTTCCCGGGTCGAGGATCATACAGGTCGTCCGCGGACGGAGCCCCCTCTCGGCGAGGCGCAGCTGCTTGCCCGAGGCTGCAAAGCCGCCGAGCATCGAGTCCAGGCCTCGAGCATCGAGTCGACCGACCCGAACCTCCAGCAGCGACAACGCCAGCACTAAGCTCGCGCCGGCCCCAGGATCTGTCAGCATCGAATCGGCAAAGCGGATCGAACCGACATGTGCATCGGATCGGGCTGCACCGGCACGGAATCGAAATCGACTCGGCTCGGCTGCGCCAGGATGCACAACGGCACCACGCGAGCATCGCGCCGCATAGGATCGCTGGAAAGATCGACATCGAACCAGACCGAGCCCGGCGGACCCTAGATCGAATCGGACCGATCGGATCGCACATTGGGCCCTGCCGTGTCGTCCGACCCGACCCTCCAGCAGCGACAGCGCCCAGTCCTGAACTCTTGACTACACGCAAGATGAACCCTGGGCAAGAGCGACTTTTGGTCCGCGGCTTGCTGGGGCCATGGGGGAGGCCACAGGCAAGCCATCCAAGCGCGACAGCCAGTGCTGACGGGAGCCCTGTGCGCCCGCACTAAAGGTCCCTGCGGCGGAGGGTGACTCTTACGCGTAGCCGAAACTCGCGCTTCGGGGACGCAATGACCTGGGACGCACTGACCCGGGTCAGGCTTTGCGGGATCCTGCGCGCTACAGCCAGGGCCAGTGCAGCCCTGGATCCTGCAGGATCCTGCAAGAGCCAGCGCTCTGGCTGGCCCCGTTTGCAGTGGCCCCCATCTCAAGGCTCCCGACGCTGACCCTGCCCCCATTAGATGCTCATTCTGGGGACCTTGTTGAAGCCAACCGCTCCGCTCGTGCGTCCAAGCTGCGTCGAACGTCCGTCGACCCGAGTCGAACCTGAGTCGAACCTGAGTCGAACCCGAACCAAACTTGAGTCTCACTGGAGCCGAACTGGAGTCGCACTGGAGTCGCACAGATCCACGAGGTGTGCCCCAGGAAGCTCCCCAAAACGAGCATCGACCCCCCCCATTCCGGCCCGGCGGGGATGCCGTGCGTCTTCTCCAGGCGGGC